TAGCTGAAAGAAGATATTTGCCACACTTAACTTACAAAAGAAAAGGCTCAAATTTAAATTGGGCGAAAAAATAACAATTACAAACAGGTGTTTGATAAAGAAAAAACAAAAATAGCCCATAAAAACATGAAAAGGTGCTCCACCTCCTCTGTCATCAAGAAAATGTAAATTAAAATCACAGCAGGATAACATTTTACACTGGAAACTTAAAAGTAAAAGCAATACAAAGTGCTGGTGGGGTTGGGGGACTCGGAGAACTCTCCTGTATTGCAGATGGTAGTGAGAATAGGTAGGAATGCTTTGGAGGACAATTTGGTCTAACCTAATAAAGTGAAATGTGTATCTACCCAAGAATCGGCAATTCTGCTCCTCAGAATAAACCCTCAAAAGCTCTTGTGCAAAAACACCAATAAACAAATATGAGAATGTCCTTATCTGCATTATCTGCAATAGCAAAAACCCAGAAACAACCCAAATGTCCACTGACAATAAAATGAATAAATAAATCATGGCATACTGTATGGTAATAAAAATGATTGATATACCCACCTACATCTCAAAAACCTCATATTCAGTGAAAAAAGTAATCACAGAAGCATATAGAAGTGTTATTCCACATATATTAGATTCATTAAAAAACCAACTAAACCTTGTGTATTTTAGAATCCATACTTGTGTGATAAAACTATCAAGGAAAGCAGAGACAGTGGTGACATCCCCTCCCAGGGGAGGACAAAAGCAGGGTGAAGCACACAAAGGCTCCCTGATATTTTCTAAACTGATGGTGGGCTCACGAGCATTCACTTTATTATTATTCTCTTTATGGGAAATACATTATAACCATGTATAACTTTCACATTTTTAAGACATAATTTTAAGACTAGAACAAATAGACAGCAGTCTCTCATAAGAGCCCTGACACTTTGTTTCTACAGAATCCCAACTCCCTACCCATTCTAGGCCTGCGAGCTGGCCCAGAGGCCAGGAGGGGTCCACCACACCCTGGAGCTGCTGGGGAGGGGAGAGCACCGGGTCCCAGTTCCCATCCCAGCCCCGGGCAACATGAGCCGAGCTACCCCACCCATCTATGTCTCTGCCTAAAAATGAGTGCCTAGCAAAATACATGGCACACAGGAGGGACTCAGTGAGTATCTGTTGAATGAATGAGTCAACCGTATCTAAGATCCCATCATAATTACAAGCCTCCTCCGAATGTATTCAGTAGAGGGAAATCATGGCTACAGCTACTAGCACCACCCTCAACACACACACACACACGCATGCACACTCACACACGCACGCGCGAATATCCCAGCATTTGAAGTGGCAAGTCAGAAAGTCCTCTGTTCTGTTTGATCCAAACTTCTGGTATTTTAATCTTACAAATTTTCTCTCCAAAAATGTCAGCTTCTCTTTCATTTCCTGTCGCTGTCACAACAAGCATACAAGTATTTTCAATGGAATTTTACCAAATGGCACATCACATTTTGTAAACCACACACACACCCCAACTCCTCTCTCACCCCTCTGCCAAATTCGGTCTCTGATCCCCGACCCCTGACCTGGATGCACAGGGCTCAGGCTCCACCTGGGGCAGGACACTCCTGGGTTCAAAGAGAAGCTGGCGGGCAAATGAGGAAGCATCAGGCCTCGCCCTGCAAAGGTGGGAGCCTACGTGCCAGTTCACTAAGGTGACTGACTGCACCAGCCTAGGGCCTGCCAAGTCCCTTCCAAACCAGCCCCCCCTTCTTGGCATCGAGAGAGAAAAGCTAGAGCCTAGTGAGCCCCAAATTACAGAAATAAGATGATGCTTTGACTAAATGCACGGGTCTGAAAGTCAAAACGAATTTCTCTCAGCCTCATTTTCCTCATCTGAGAAACACAGCAATAATCTCCCCTCAGAGCATTGTTGGGTGGCTAGCATGAAATATGTGTAAAGATACTTGCAGATCAGCATCAAAGAGTCGCTATGTCCCTAACCACTTCTGTTTGACTTTGGAAGAAATGAAACAGTCCTTACACTCAAGTTGCGTTTTACCCGGGCTCATCTGCAGCCAGCGCTGCGGGGCGTGGGGTGGAGGCGGGGCCCTGAGGGGTCTGGAGGCCGCCTGGGCAATGCAAATTCACCCCTAGTGCCACTGGGACAGGCTTCTGCCAGCGTGAAGAGGGAGCGGCCACCCCCCACCTTCTGAGGGCCAGGTGGGCTGCGTCCAACCGCATGTGGGCTGTGACTGCCTTGGATCACCTAACACGAGGCATGCTGGAGAGCAGGCCAGAGGCTGGGCCACACGTGAGGGCAACGCCAGGACAAGCAGTGGCGCTGGGGCAGCTAAAGTTTTACAGGGACTATGCAGGGGCAGAAACCCAGCCGCAAATGTTGTCAAATCGGGAGGCCAACAATCGGGGCAGGAAAGGCAGGAGGTCCTCCTGCACAATCCAGTACAAGAGCTCTCTGGCCTCCAGAAAGCTGGAAGCCAAATGGATCAGCACCCTGGACAGCGCTGCGGGCACCCAGGCTCTGCGGGTCTCCCCACTGCGGGTGGCAGCTCCAAGGCTCCTCACTCACCCCCCCTCCCGGGTCGGAACCCACCAGCGGCAGATCTCCGACAGGCTCCCGCTTGCGCCACGGAAGCCTCACGGAGTGAGCGTGGTGCCCTCTCTTGCTGAGCCACCTACAGCCTCAGAATCCTTCCCACCCCGCACCGAGGGAAGCTCACCAACCACCCACAGCGGCCCACTAGGTGAAAGCTACTGGTCCCCCTCATCCTTCGGAATTACTGAGAAAAGGCAGTCTCATTAGAAACTACCTTCAACGCCACCCAAGGCAGCAAAGGTGCCCATGTCAGGAAAGAGGGCACACCTTTTGGTCTGGCAGGAGGTTCTGAATAGGAAAGAGAAGGGTGGCGGGGCAGAGTGTCTGTCTCCCAGCCCACCACCCCAACTCGGACGCAGAGGTCAGGCCATCAGGGGCCCTGTCTTTCTCCCCATTTCTCCTTTGTTTTGTGAACATTGTTTGAAAACTCCGTGTCATCCACGTTCATTCCCAGGGTGACTATTCCTTGAGGGGCTGCTCTGTGCAGGGACAAGCACAGAGCCCCTTTCCTGGAGCTCAGCGCCCGGCCTGGGCATCCAGCGCTCATCGAGAACCAGCCCCTGTAAGTGTCAGGACAAGCCAAGAGCAGGTGAGGGCAGAAGTGCGTCTGGGAGAGGGTGGAACCACGGTGCCGGCTCTGCAGGACAGGTGGGGCTCAGGGCGACTTTCTTTGAAGAATTGCTTCTTGAGTAGAGTGGGGGTAAGGGGTGCAATGAAAACACAGGGTTCAGGCAAGTGTCACCAGGCTCGTTCATCTGCAGGATCACAGGAGCCCAGACGGGGTGGGCAGGCTGGAGAGCAGGTCCTCTACCCTCCCAGGGGCCGAGGCCCCCATCGAGACCCCTCCCGGGCCCCAGGGAGAACTGTGTCTGCAGGCCAGAGTGAAAGGGGAGAAGTGGGTGGGAAGGGACCGGGCACACTGGACCACAGCATCCCCAGCCCTGGACACCTGCACCCCTCCCCACAGGGCCCAGACTCAAAGCAGATGGACTTTGGGGGTGAGCTGCAGGCAAGGGGGTTGTCAGAGGAAGGCCTGGCCCCTAAGAGATGGCCGTGTGCACCTCCGGGCTGTTACGGGGTCTCCAACTCCTCCCCAAGGGCCAGGGACGGAGCAGGAGTGAGAGGGTCGGAGAGAGAGGCCAGGTCCTGGACAGAGTCCAGTTTCAGGTCTCCAGAGTCTCGGGCCACCCTTGTCCCCGTCACCACCTCATCATTATTTCAGCACTGTGACTGTTTGCTCTTTCAATTCTTCCTGGAAGACTCCAAATAGCATATTTGCTCAAGAGCTGAGGACAACATTCCGGTCTTAGAGCAGCAGAGTATTTAGGCAAATGCAAACATATGCTGATTTCTTTTCTTAGTAACATTCTTGGCAAAGGAATTATTTCACCAGGAGACAAAAATGGAACTTTTGAAGGGCCGCCCATTCCATTCTGGCCCTGGCCACAGGGCTGCCAACCCTCAGGAGTGCCCCACACCTTCTAACGCATGCTGGGGGGTGGGCGGGTCCTAGTGAGGAGTGTCTGCGTGCTGACCGGTGGTCCCGGGAGTCTGCGCATGTGATAACCCTGCACAGGAGCAGATCTGCACGGCAGTGTGGTGCATGGGAGCTGGTGACACGTGGACAAGGGTGCACCCCTCCCCACAGGGCCCAGAGCTCCGAGCCAAGTCCTGGCTGTGACACTGCATTGGACCTTACCACTGGGGAACCTGGGCACACGGGATCTCCCCGTATTGTTTCTTATGATTGCATGTGAGTCTAACTTTTCTCAGAATGTTTCTTACATTTTTTTTAAAATAAAACACAAAACTTGGACACCATTTCATCTCAGGTCTGTTTCTACAGAGCAGCCATAGAAAACCTGAAGCCATTCCTCCAAAGCCCAGTTTTGAGATTTCCTAACAAGCAAATTACAACTGTCTTCTTAGGAGAGGTCTTCAAAGAGGCCATGCCCAGCCATGCCCAGCGTCCCCAGACCCTGCGTCCCCCGGGACGGCCCTGGCAGCCTGCGACCCTGAAGCCAGGGGCAGATCAGGCGGGTGGGGCCGGGGCAGAGACAGCCGGCGACCGTCCAGGGTGAAGGGCAGCTGCCATAGCGGAGGCATCTGGGAGGCCGTGCTGCAGCCTCCGCCCCTCAGATCCCTGCCAGCGGTTTATTAATATTTTATCCAAACCTGTACGCTGATTCAAACCTCAGCTGCCATGACAAGGTGTGGTTGCTAGGCAACTTCAGTGCCTGTCTGTGGATCTGTTTTGCAGATCCCCCAGCTCCTGAAGCCCACGGTGGGCCCTGCCACCCCGAGGCCCGCTCAGCTCTGACCACCTGGCACCTGCCGCGGCCCCAGCCCCTCTTGGGCCTCCCCACCCCTGGCCTGGCCCCGTACCTCCGCCCACCCGCCCACTCACCGTACTCGCTGTCGTAGAACATGACGAACTTCTGCCAGCGGAGCTCGGTCACCAGCCTGAGCATGACGTCGTTGAGGCGGACGGGCGGTCTGGAGGCCAGCGTGTAGGCCTCGCCGTCGGGGCTGGGGTTCAGGTGGCAGGCGGTGCGAGGCGACCCCCCCGGGTTGCGCTGGACGAAGAGGTGGGGGATGTGCATGGCGTCCGTGAGGGACTGCAGGGCGTTGGCGGACGCACAGCCGGTGGACGTGACCAAGGCCAAAATCCCCTGGGTCATGAGGTCACAGGCTGGAAGAGAGGGGAGAGAGATGGGTCAGCATCCAGCGAAGCTGCGCCCCACGCCCGGCAGCTCACGCTGGTGCCACCCGAAGCCCCCGCCCCCAGAGAAGCTGCCCCCCTTCAGGGACAAGAACCCATCCCCGGCGAGGCCGGCTGCTCTCACGGGCACAGTCTCACTGAAATCCTTGGGGAAATGCACGCCAGGTGTTTCTGTGCCCATTTAACAGATGACAGGATGGAGGTCAGAGGGGACAAAATCATTTGCCCTAGTTACTGCAGGAGGGGAGGCAGCACGGGGACCCACCCCAAGTCCGCCTGACCCACCCCCCGAACACAGCTGTGACATTATCATCCTGTTTCCCAGCTGGGACCGTGAGCCCTTTAAGGGCCCAAAACGCATCCTGCTCATCTGTGTCCCCGTGGCCTAGCCAGGGGTGGAGAATATACCTCGTGATCTACAATAGCTGGATGAACTGAACTGACTGGGGACACAGGGACTGAATGACACCAGAAAGTCAGGGAGACACTTACCCCAGAGGACACAGGTTGTAGGCAAAAAAAAAAAAAAAAGGCAGAAGCCCTATGTCTTCTGGCCAAGTCTGCTTGATTCACATCACAAACATTCTGGGTCAAACCCCCGACGAGGCAGTCGCCCCTGAAGCCCAGGATTACTGAAAAGCCACTTGAGAGCAACAGAGGAGGCGCCCCCGCAGCTCGAGCGGTCACCTCGGTGCGGAGGAGGAACAGGACAAAGGCGCCACGGCCAGCCGTGTGCAGGGCTGACGTGCTCAGGGGCTCATCTTTAGAAGTCCCCCCGTAACCACGAGGGGCGCCCCATTTAGCCGCCTGCCCACGCCTTCTTGGGGCATCACACCGACTAATAGGAAGACGCCCCTCCCGACGCCGCGACCCGCTGCACCAGTTTGGAGGCAAACATTTCTTCCTAATGGCTTCTGTGATGGCAGGAACGTGGGGAAGCAGATGCAGTTTCAAAACACAGCCTGTGAATGGCAGCCGGCCATCTGCTGCACACGGCAGACTCTGAACAACTTTGACAATGCAGTCCTTCCCGTCAGCAGCCCCTGGGTTTATGTAACGCCTCGACAGGGCCGCGAGAAGGGGAGAAGAACAGGGCAACCAACCCCAGGAGCAAGGCAGGGAAAGGGAGAGCCCCAAAGGCCGGCTGCTCCCCACACGAGCCGCTCACCTTGCACTGTCACCAGCAGAAGCAGGACCATAACTCACACACCACAGTCCTCCCTGCCGAACCCTCAGCCTCCAAACGCAAGGCCAGGGGCAGGGGTGGCCAAACGAGGGACAGTGAAGTCTCTCTTGGGAATCTCATAGCCCCCCAGGCACCCTGCACACCGCCCACCCGGGTCAAACATGGCCGCGTTCTCCTCTCGACAGAAATCCAGTTGTGTCGCACCCTGTTTAAAGCCCCGCGGTCCCTCCCACGATCCTTGGAGATGAAGCCAGACTCCTCACGATGGTCCTGCAGGCTCCCAGGCCTGCTGCCCAGCTCCTCGCCACAGCCCACTGCTGGGCTCCAACCAGCCGGCCCTCCGACTCACCTTTCACCTTTCATGCTCACGCTTGCTTCAGGACGCAGACTCCACGTCCCCAGACTGGCTCGGGACCCTCGTGGTATGACACCCCTTCACCGAACCAAGGCACCACATGTTGCCTGGTAACCGCCTGGCTCTCCCACTGGCCCCGAAGCTCCAGGAGGACGAGGGTCCCTCCCCAGACACATGCCAAGCCCTGTGCATGGCGGGCAGGGAGACCACGGGCCTTGACGTTTCCATGCCCCTGATCAATAAGCCCTCTCTGGGCACCTGTCCAAACCAGGGAACAGCACTAGATCCAAAACCATTCAGAAGACACTTATCCATACTCTTGGAATATTGCTAATGACCTAAAAGATGCAAATTGGCACGTGGTTGTAAAAGTGCTCCGTTTGCTGAACGCATAAGCAGCTCTTAAAACTATTCATGAAGATACTGCAGCAACTCAGAAAAGTGCTTGTCATAAAAAGGTATGTGAAAATAATACAAAATTGTACATATTTTATGATATCAATTAAATAAAACATCAACATGCATAAAAGAAAGACCAGACAGAAGTGCTGCACGATGTTTAAAGTGACTGCAATTTAGAAAAAGCCTAGAAATGGTTTTCTTTCTTTTCCGTATTTGCCAAAATTTCGTGACATGAACAGATAATTCCTTTAGAAAAAGAAAATAATCCTGTAAAAATGGATAAGTAGGAAAGCTATAAAGGAAGAGGGACTTTCATGCAAGAATTTACTGTGTCAAATTTTCTGTCCCTTATATATGTGAATTCACATATCCATGTAGAATAGGGATCACTGCGCCCATTTTCCAGAAAATGAGACGGGCGGCCACGCAGTGGCCTCCTTTCCCATGTGTGTAACACACGTGGGAAAAGTGCTACTGAGAGGTGGCCAAGTAAGAAAACCAGTGCACAAAATTACATGCTCACCGTGATTACAGCTAGATAGAAAGCACACTTATGCACAGGGCAGGAGAAAATACCAAACACTAAGGTGCTATGACGACGAATGGATTTTTTTCTTTCTTTTTTGTGCATGCTCTCTTCAATACCAACACGTGGCAATTCATAGTTTTTAAAAGCATCTTACAAAATAAACTGTTCAGGCATAAGTTGCCCAGGAGCCCCCACGCTTGATTGTGGAGGGATGGCCCCATCCCAGGACCCGCAAGGGACGGCCCTCCCTGTGGCCATGAGTCACTCCTGGCTCTTGTTGCCCCACCTGCTTGGCTCCCTCCTAAGTCTTCACCTGACGTATAATGGTAAGTCCTGTCCCCACTCCATACACACCAGGTTCTGAAGTCACAGAACCTCTCTGAGCCTCAGTTTCTCTATCTGGGCACATACGCCACTGCTCACTGCGGACTGCTCCTTTCCGCCTGAAGGTTTCGTCCATACGCTCAGCACCCCCACCACACACAAGCCGCTGCCCTGAGCATGGTGGCAGGAAGAGCAGGATGACCACAGGTCCCATCTTTGACGAACTTAGGACCCACGGAGGAGACAGACCCCACGATTCAGCCAGAGCAAAGAGAGAGGAAGCTGCCTGGGGTACACAGGAGGGTGAGCTCATGAGGGGTTAGGCTCAGTGGAAGGAAAGGGTTTTGACCCCTTTTAGGGTCCCCCACAGGGAGAGCAGCATAAAGGACAAAGTAACAATGACACGAGACCAGGTAGCTCCCTGACCAGCTGCCACCTCACCAGGGACAGCAGAAAGACCATTAGAATCCCACAGACCCAAGTTCCAGTCTTGGCTCCTCTGGTCAGTGGCAGTTCACCCATGGACACCCCCTTTCTTAGCCTCTGTTTTCTGTTAAGCAGAGATAAGACTCTGTACCAGCAGAGCCTGGGGGCGCACTGACTTAGATGCAGGCGGCAAGTGCCAATACAGGAAAGATGCTAAGCAGATGTCAGTTTCCTGCCGCCTTCCTTGGACATCCCCATCTCACCACCAAAGCCATATCTGGGGTCTTTAGAAGTCCTAGTGGCCACAGCCCTTAGTGCTGCCAGCCCTCCCCCCGGAGGCGGGCACCGCTGACCCGCCCCTCACGCAGCCACCTGCAGCGCCATGAGCGGCCGGCCTCCGTTCCGGGAACGGGAGCAGGCTGGGTAATTAAGGCTGGAAGACTCTCCCAGGCGCTAATGGAGAGGCCCGATGCGAGTCAATTTCCAATCCACTGTGAATGGCCTGCTAATTGGGGCACTGTTGAAATGATGGTTATTTGGAGGCTTCTAACATAAAAATAATAAGATCAAAATACATCAGATCAAAGCCAAATCAGCTATTAGCTTAATCAAGGTTGTGTGAGATGGGACGTTACACAACTCATGCCCTGGTTGTGGCGGGAGGTGCTGAGCCCGGTGCAGGCAGGGGTCTGTGTCTGGGCCTGCCGCGGCCACAGTGCGGACCGTGGGCAAGGGGTCGGTCCCCTCTGGGCTTCTGGTTGGTTTGGGTCCCCCCACCGTCAAATACAGACGATGGCTCCCGCTTCCCAGGGCTGCTGCGCATCCCCCAGGGAAGGTCTCTGTGTGTGAAGAGCCGTTCGCGCTGCCCGGCGCACAGTAGGAAGCTGGACGTCGTTGCCCTCCAGCTTCATGCTTGCAGGTGTTTTTGCAACTCTCGGGAGGATAACGGCTTTTGTTATAATCCTCTGCCTCTAATATCGTATGGTCATAAAGCTGATTTCTCTCTTGATTACAATGCAGGCGTGATGGATTGATAAGGGCTCCCTTAGAATGACTCATCAGCTGGGAAGGTAAAGAAGTAAAGATGAACGGCAATAATGAGCAGCTCTAAGCCCCCTGGCCGAGTCTGTGGCCCAGGAAAGCGGAGGGTCTCTGCAAAGGAGAGAGGCTGCACAAAGCTCAGGGTGGGCCCCGAGGAGAGGAGCCCTGGGGAGGAGAGGAGCCAGCCTTCCCAGACAGGGCTCCACACCCCCGTCCCCAGTGTCAGCATCCCACCCACCTGGGCTTCCCGAGACACAGGGCCTGTCAGGTGCAGTACTGGCCGCTGCACAGGCCACACTCAGCAGCTCTCGCCCCAGCTGAGCCTCCCGATCCCCTGGGGAGAATCGGAGGGCAGAGTGCTGCTCGCTCGGCCAGGGCCACACAGCCAGAGAGCATCAGAACCAGACCCCAGGAAGCTCTGTGGCCAGTGCTGGGAAGACACAGTGGCCAGCAGGGGACAACCCAGGATTCCAGGCTGGCTCTCCCAGCCCGTCCCTGCGTGGAAATTCCCAGGGCAGCTGCAGGCTCAGCGCAGGCCTGAGTCCTTGGGACCTGCGAGGGGCCCCTGGAGATGAAAAGTGCTCCCGACACTGAGGTCACTGTGGGCACCGCCACTGATCCATGCCCACTCTTCTCCATCCCCATGGGGATTTCTGGAAAATTGTCAGGCCAAGGCTGGGGAAGCAATACCACAGAAGGCTTGTGCT